CCTGCTGGGTCATCCCTGTCCACAAGACCCTGCTAGCTTACAGCAGAGACAGCTTTGGTGAATCGCATGACCCTTATATAAAACACTAAACCCCAAATATTGGAAGTGGTAATCTTGAAAACAACAGCTTGGAAGCTGTGTTTTCACAGTCCCGTCTGCTTATGGCCAAGCAGAGCACACATGGGGGGAAAAGAAATTGTGAATCTTGGATGTCATTAAGGGTCTGCATGAATGAAGAGGTGCTTTGGAGAGCATGCCAGCTGACCACTTGTGTGCCTTCAGGTATGCTCCAGTGCCACTGCTGTTGCTCCCCACCAGGCTGCTACAGGTAGAAAGCAGTGTTCTCTCAGCTGAATAGTTACAGATGGTCCTGTGGTCTTCATGGCCCTTGGGTGCTTGAGAGATGAGGAGATCCTGTGGTCCTTGGGTGCTTGAGTGGTGAGGAGGTCCTGTGGTCTGCATGGTGCTTGAGAGGCAAGACAGACATTAACATGTCTGTTAACGTGCCTATCTGTGGTGTACCCCTTGGAGATACCGTGGTTGGTCTTTATCCGGGGGAGGGCAAGCTTTTGGTGGCTTCACAGTCCTTTGCAGTATGAAGGCTGCCAATGTTGGTTTCTTCTTTAGACTGGCGCAGCAGTGGGCCAGCGTAAACTGGACAGAATGAGAGGTTACACTATTCCGGCATCAAGCGAAGCAAGTGTAGGATAGCCTGGTGTAAAGCACGTGACGTGGTTGGGGCTGAGGTGATGCTGTCTAGGAACAGTGGCTGGCACCAGAAGGGCAGCACCAAAATTATCAATTGATGGTTCCTCGATGCTACCAGTCTCGTTACTGCTGTTGCAATGGAGTTAAGTATTCCTTCATTAAAATAACTCTTCCTGTTGCGTACTCTGCTGTTTCTATATTTAAATTACCCTCGATGCAGCAATTCAGCCCACCAGAGAACACCCTTTGAAAACTGCAGTAGTTATGGAACTGTGATTTTATTTTTTTTTCTTATTTATTAGACGATAATAGTCTAATAATGACCTTTATAGCTTTCTAGAAAAAATATTTTGATTTCTGCTGCTGTGTTCACGTAGAAGATGTGTGAGGTGGTGAACTAGGCACTAAGGAAGGTAACACGAGACGTGGGTTTTCGTAATGCATCTACAAAGAGAAACGTGGCGCTAGCCTACGTTATTTACTGTAAGTAAACTGCTTGCAAAGAATTATTTTTTTTAAGTAGGGTATTAATTATTCTAATGATTCTCTACTAAGGCATAATAGCATGCAAACAAATAGCGCTTTGACACCACAATACCTATGTGATTTCAAGTGCCAGTTTAATAAGTTAGTATGTTTTTCTTGCCTCTATATTTTCGAGAAGACTGTGAGAGTGCCTGGGCCATGTCTGTGTTGTAAAACAGACTTTGTTGCCCTGTGTTCACCAAAGGAATAAATACAGTGACCTTAAACTTGGATGTGTGTGTGTGCATGCGCGTATTCTTGATCTGCTGTGCTGACTGAAGATTTGCAAAGGGATATTTCATGCAACATGAACCGAGTGCTAAAATTACTAATACACAGCTGAGAGGTGTAAGCTGGTACGTAGCCACCTAAAGAGGCGCTGAACAAGGAGGTGAAGTTACTTGTTATAAGAAAAATGGTGCGACTTCACGTTGCAGCAGGATTTGGGTTTGTCTCGCTTTATGAATTTTATCGCTGGCTCTTTGTTTGTTTTTTAATTTCAGGAAGGATTGAAAAAAGTGACATAAGCATATGTATATATTGCTGTGCTTAAAGCCAGCAATCACTGACTGCCAATATAAATCTGCTCTGATGGCTTGGGGGAGAAGTAAATTGTAGGGAGAGCAAAGCTATTTTTGACCAGCTATTTAAGCAGTTCGCTTTACTTTACTTTTTTTTTTTTTAATGACTGAGCTGGTAGTTAATCACGCCCATCCCTGCACTTAAGTAGAAAATTTGGGGAGGGTTACCAGCACTTGTACTGGTAAGCATAGGTGCAGGTGTTGCTGTCAAAACAGCTTTGCCATAGCTGGTGTGAAAGCGTATGAGCAGACGAAGAGAGGAGAACAAACTGCTGGTGGGAAACCCAGTGCGCTTTCTGGGGGAGGCACAAATTCTGCACCCCACGCCTGCCCGAGGTTGTCAGGGCTCCAGCTCCTGTTGGGAAGTGTAAAATGGAGGTGTCCCGTTGCCTTTCTGTGTCACCACCTCATGCCTCCATTGCGCACGTCACTCCTCTCCTCCAAAATAAGGAGGCTGGGCAAATCCATCTCCAGGCGGGTTCATAGAATGGTTGCTCAAAGCACCATCCAACCTGGCCTTGAACATCTCTAGGGATGGGGCATCCACAGCTTCCCTGGGCAGCCTGTTCCAGTGTCTCACCACTGTCAGAGGGAAGAACTTCCTAATATCTAATCTAAATCTACCCTTTTTCAGTTTAAACCCATTACCCCTCGTCCTATCGCTATACTCCCTGACAGAGTCCCTCCCCAGCTCTCCTGTAGGCCCCCTTTAGGTACTGAAAGGCCACTATAAGGTCTCCCCAGAGCCTTCTCCTCTCCGGGGTGAACAAACCCAACTCTCTCAGCCTGTCCTTGTAGGTTGATGGGGCGGGCAGTGTAATTGCAGGTACACGGTGAGGCTGTCAGGTTGGAGCCAGCTGGCGGTGTGGTTTTGTAGCTGGGACAGCCAGACCAGCCAGCTTGCCTCCACTTTGTAGGAGAAGATGCAACTCCACGAAGCCACGTGTTTACTAAAAACTGTTGTGAGGAAACATCCGGTAACTGCATAGAGCTGTCTGGTGAGATATGATATGGAAACTGTCTGAGTCTCGCAGTTGAGCTCTTGTGGTAGGAGCTGGAGCATGAAACCAGAATGACAGCACATGTACCAGGACAGGGAACTGGACTGTGGGTTTTTTATTTATTTGGGTTTTTTTACAGTTAATACGAACCTCAGCTTTGCTGGTAAACTGCATCATAGTCAGAGTGCCTTACATTTATAGCAGGCTGGAATAGCTTCTGTTTATATATATGTATAGAGAGATAGATATACACACCACATCTTTAGAGTGGTTTTGTTGGCCTGTACTTCTGGTACGGTTCTGTTGGCCAAAGCTGTAGGTGCAGTGAAGCTCTAACATGGTCACACCAGCAGAAAAAACAGCTGTTAGCATCATATATAGTTTGCTAGATGACTCCTTTTAAAACTCTACCTGCATTAAGATGTTTTTTGTTAGTGTAATGCCTCTAAAGCATGGGTCACCTGTTGGACTGCACATTCTGGATGGCAATTTTTTATAGATACTAATTTATTTTTTTTTTTATCTAGGAAAAAATTCAAAGCAATTTGTCAGCCTTTATTGCTGTGACAGGTCTGAGCTGCTGCCTCAGCAGATGGTCCCTTCCCGTTGAGAGCTGCAGGAGGGCAAAGAAGGTCTTTTGGACCTGGGCAGCTCCATGGGACCCAGCTGAACTGATGGGCTGGCCAGATCTTTCCCTGGTGGAAATAGGAGGCAGTACTGGGGAATATCTGTGACTTGTAGGGGCGGTTGTAAAGACTTCATTTGTGCCGAGACCCCTAATTCACTTTATGCTGACTTAAGTCTTGCAACTTCTTTTTCATTCTTTGGGCACCAAAGGCAAACACTTCTAAATAGGGTATATATTTACAATATAATGAGTATAACTAAACACTTAATGTGAGAGCTGAATGGATTAGATTCTACCTGTTAAGGTCTTTTTCAGATTTCAGATGTTGATATCAAAATAGCTATTATTTCTGTTTCCAAATTGACGTTTCAAGATAGATACAGCAGTTTCCAAGTGCTTACTATAAGTTCTGGTTATAAACCTGGAGGAGTTAACGTGCTCGTGAGATTACCGGGGTCTCGTGTTGGAACCTGGCTCTCATCAGTGACTGCATTACCCCTGCACAGTGTGGGGATGGTATGGCACTGCGTTTGGGTTTGGTGGGCTGCCACTGGACGTGATTTTGAGGATTTGCATTGATTTCTGACTGTCTCCTTTGTTGCAGACCAATAAAGCTAAATGGGTCCAGTCACTGGAATGACTCCGGATAAGAAAGCTGAAACGCCAGGAGCAGAAAAAGCTGCAGGGCTACGGCAGTGTCACGGGATGGGAAGCTTGCCCGACGCAGGCGATGCTGGCAGGCCAAAGGCCACTGTGGTGGACAGAGATTCAGCAGACGACGAGCTCACGAATTTGAACTGGCTGCATGAAAATACTAACCTTCTAACAAACTTCAGCCTCGGAAGTGAGGGTCTTCCAATCGTTAGCCCCTTGTATGACATTGAGGGCGACAGCGTGCCATCCTTCTCGCCGTCCTGCTATCAGAACCCCGAGAAAAAATCCTCCACTTCCAAACCCCCTTACTCTTTCAGCCTTCTCATTTACATGGCGATCGAGCATTCCCCCAACAAGAGCTTGCCAGTCAAAGAAATCTACAGCTGGATCCTGGAGCGCTTCCCCTACTTCGCCACGGCACCCACCGGCTGGAAGAACTCAGTCCGACACAACCTCTCCTTGAACAAGTGTTTCCGAAAGGTGGAGAGAAGCCATGGCAAGGTGAGACCTGGTGGGAGGGAGGTGGATCAAGTTTGAAATTCAGGGGGAATAGAGAAGACTGTTGTTCTTAAGGACTTTAGGGGTTTGTTTGTTTGTTTTTTTTTTCCCCTCTCCACATCGTCTTAATACTTTATTGTAGATGGTTTGGAAATGCCACTTCTGACAAATCACAGGATGACAAAAGTCACTTGGTTTTGTTATTTGGTGCTGACCTGGGTAGAGCTAGCTGCGGTGCATCCTTTTTAAAGCTGTCTAACATGCTATTGCAAAGGACCCTGTTTCTGCTTACAATTTTGTTAGCCTGCAGTGCCCAGCCTGAAATTTCAGATATCTGTCTTAGGATGTCTTTCTGCTGAAGCTTCTTAAACTGGTGCTCTCTCTGTTTTTCCAATGCTGAAATCTTGGGGTGTGTTCCTCCTTCCCTGCTTTTCCAGCACGGCCATGGCTACAACGGCACCAGGAAGCAGAAGAGATGCCAAGCAACTTTCCTGCTTGGCTAGCATGGGTGTTGCTCGTTTGGGTGCAGATGTGGTCTTCTGCAGGCACGCTGTATGTATGTGGCTGTTCCTCAGACTAACAGCTGTCTTGAA